TCATTTTCAAATTTCCCGCCGTTCCATCCCCGTACGTCCCGACGTAACCCAGAAGACAGATGCCAGCATCCGCCAGAGGACATTACAGGGGACAGCGCAGGACAAGGTAAGAGAAGAATAGATCCCGGAGCAGCGCCACATGGTAAGCCCGAGTGTAGCTCAGGGTTACCGCTTGTGGTACTGAAACTTTACCCTGAGCTATACTCGGGAATACCGCCAGGGTGGCTACGATCCATACTTATAAGAATCCTAATTTATTATTTATTACAGGTACTTATATAACGCTGTCAATTTACGTAGTGCTTTACATATTTATTGTACACTCACATTAGTCCCTAATCCTGAAGGGGTGTATAATCTAAGTTCCCTAACTCACATTCATACATATACTAGGGCCAATTTAGACAGGATCCAGTTAACCTACCAGCATATCTTTGGAGTGTGGATGGAAACCTGAGTACCCAGAGGAAACCCACGAAGGCACAGGGAGATCTTGCAAACTTCAGGCAGGTGGTGCCGTGGTTAAGATTGAGCCAATGGCTCTAGTACTGCCAGGTGGAAGTGCTAACCATTTAGCCACTGTGCTGTTCATTAAAGTGATTAATGTAAAACTAATTAAACCAATCTGAGAATTAGTAATGCTAATCAGCAAAAAAATTGCAATTGTGTAAGTCAGAAATTTCATACAAGATAACTATCATCTGCATTTAAAGTGAATTAAAAAATAAAATAAAAATGAGGTGCTCAAATCAATACCATTATCTCTTAATCAAAAATCTATTTAAATCCTGGCATCAATCATTGACAGATCTATGAAAAACAGATATTCAAAAAATATACATAGCAATAGGTGCCACATATAAATGATATACTTCACATACATAGAAATGAATCAATCCAAACTGATTTTAGCAGTTAACTTTTATTTTATTTTTTAATTCATGAATATATATATATTGTATATATGTTTATATTTCTATATCAACACTACTGTTAAGAGTGTTTTGTGGGGGTTTTCTCAGTTCTTTTTGCATTTAAAGAGAGATGACAAGGATTCTGCAGTTGATGTGTTTGATGTCTCTCCTGCTTACTTACTAACCAATTTACTAGATTACACACAAATGGGAGTAAAGTGGACTGGTGTAGTACAGTAATGCCTGAATGAGAAAGTTGCAATGAGCATTTGTGTTCTATGCCCTGTATGTACAGTATCTTGAGGTTTATTTTTTAGTTTTGACTGGAGGGTACTTTTAACTAATGAACATATGAAAGAGAGGTCTGACCATATTTTTGCTAATCAAAATTAATTTTCAAGAATTTATATAAATGCACATTTTTTTAGTTGGGCATCTGGAATTAAAGTAGGTATTGTAATGATAATGCACCTTTTGCATCATTTTACAAAGCACAGAAAGGGGAGAAAAAGGCTAAATCTATTAAGAAAGGAGACAAAACCTTTTTTAGGTACCTCAGTGATAGAAGTAAAAAAATACTAAAATGAAAACTGGGCACAATACTTATGTTGAAGGAGACCTGGATGTATCAAAGAATTTAAACAATTAATTCTGTTCAGTCTTCTCAGAAATAAATTGCACTAAAAATAACAGGTAGGGGAATCATATTGGAATATAGTAATAATAGTTAATTTTTCAAGATTTCTAGAAATAGAGGTAGCAGAGGAACTGGCCTGGTTAAGGCTTAGTAAAGCAATGGACCCTGATGGTATTCATCCCAGAGTTATAATAGTTGTTGGACCAATAACAGAACTGTTTGATCAGTCAATTACAACAGGTGACATTCACCATGACTGGCAGACAGCTAATATTGTTACTATCCAACAGAAGGGTAGCAAAGTAGAAACTGGTGACTACAAGCAAGGGAGTTTAACATCTGTTGTAGTCAAATTAATGAAATCACTCCTAAAATTAAGGATAATTTATCTCCAAAATACAGACAATTTGCTGGACCCAAAGCAGCATGGCTTTACTGAAGACAAATCATGTCAATCTAATCTGATTGAATTTTTTTACTATATCACTAATACTTTGAACCAGGGTGGTGCTATAGACATAGGATATATTGATTTCAGCAAAGCATTTGGTACAGTTCCACATAATGATAATGATAATTCCAAATAAAAAAAGTTGTACAAGCTAGGACTTAACTCTTGGGTGGTTCAGTTGATGTGCAGTTGGCTAAAGGATAGAGTGTGGTTGTAAATGGGGCTCTTTCAGAACAGAGAACAATCACTATTGGTGTGTCACAAGGCTCTGTCCTGTTCTATTTCATCTGTTCGTGAGTGATATAACTAAAGGTTTCTTAAGTAAATATTATTAGGGGTACGGATTTGGCCAGCACTACAGAGGAAAAAGATTTGAGGGTACTTAATTCACAATATTGCAAAATGAGCAAACAGTGTGGCCATGCAGTGGAAAAAGTAAAGAAAATTATTTGGTGCATCACAAGAGAGATAACCAGCATAACCCTTATATAGCTTTTTAGTTAGACCTCATTTAGAATACGGTGTCCAGTTCTGCAAACCTCACTTACAAAGAGATATTGATAAGATAGAATGAATCCAGAGAAAAGCAACAAAAATGATGAAAGTTCCGGTGAATACATAATTCCCAGGGCAGTGCCACTCCATGCTTTTTTTTTATACCCCCTTGCCTATAAGCCCAGGAAATTGACAAATTTGGCTCCATTGATTTTGAAGGGGTTTGGCATATGAACTTCTTTGAAGTTAGCAAAACCGAACTCAGGGCAGTTCAGCTCAGCTCATCACTAGATATGTAGGTACTATATCAATCAACAGATGAAATGCAGCAAAACCTACACTTCTCAGTCCTCAAACAGAAAGTAGATGTGTATGACCACATGTGAAAGAACCACAAGTAGTTGATCGGCTTTTTGATGCTGATTTTTGCTGATTTGACACTTAAAATGGACCTGTTGCCAGGTTATGAACATTCAGGTATTTATTACTCAATAATTAAGGAACACAGTATTCAGAGACAATTTGTGTTATACTGCTGCCTGCCAAAGGATTTGAACCCTGTTAAAAGAAAAAAAAAGTGAATAAGCTAGTATAAACCCACACATTTCCAGCATGCCTAATTTTTTGCTAGTGTCCTAGGAGGATGGATGTCTTTTCTGTACTGCGAAATGCTTAACAATTCCAGAAGTCATTTTGTCTTGTCTAATCTACACACTGCTTTGGCTTGTTTCTTTATGCACCTCTCCAGATCATAGTATCCTACACAATAGTTTTGGAGTACCCAGACCCTGCTGGACTGGACAATAGCAGGGCATACCTGGGATGTGACCTCAATGCACTAGGCTCTGCTTGTTTCATTTTCCTGACCTTTGTGTACTGTATTAATTAGCTACAGAGAGCTTCCGAAGTACAGAACTATGACACTCTCTCTGATGTGACCTATTCTCTGTAAACTCATTTCTGATTTGGCTATTCAAATCAAGCATTGGGAGCTACTGTGTTTTTTCTCTATTGCCAGATCCTTGAAAAAGCCTAATGTGTCTCTTACTATAACAAAAGTTAAAATCTCCTGAATTATGACACATGTAAAATTAGCACATATTTTAAACGATAAGAAACAGCGATTCTAAAAGATTTGGGACCGTTGGGTACAATACCAACAAGCTGTGTTGCTTCTTTAACTATTGGATGGAAGTTCTATTAGAGGCAAGTTATGGTCTAGAACATCTCTTCTTTTCTTTTTTCACCTTTTCTGTTCCTGACCTTTATCTAAGGTGTCATATTATTTCTCTGACTGGTTTACCCAGATCTCTACTTAACAATGTCAACAAAGGACATTAGAAGGCATCAAGAAACTGCTAACATCTATTGATTCTATGGGGTTGATTTACTAAAGGTAAATAGACTGTGTGCTTTGCAAACTGCAGTTGCAGTCTGCAAGAGCAGTTGCTCCGAGTTTGGTAAATGAGCAGAAGCTGTGCTGACTTCCATCATCCAATCATGTGCATAGCAACAATGCTGTTTTTTTTTTTCCTTTAGCTTCCTTCGAGCTTTATCTCATTTACTAAGCTCTGGAGCAATTTTGCAAAGGGCACAGTCTATTTGCCTTAGTAAATCAACCCCTATATCTCTTGCCCTTTCAGATCTAATTGAACCTGTAACTCTGACTAAAGAAATTTTTATGACATTGTTCATACTGCTTTATATCCTATATATCTATATGTCTTTTTCTACTAATATTGAACAAAACAGCTGACTGTAACTAAAGGCATGTGTAAAAATAGCATCAGAATCTGCGCTGGTTCACAAAAACATAAGCTGCCAGCACTAAATTCTGATACAAAGAATTTGCAAAACATATATATAAAAGTGCAGCACTAAGAGTACAAATACAAAATATAAATAATATACATGTGACAAATAATATAAAAAATATATGTGGAAGTGAATACAAAAAGTCCCAGTGTCAAAGGACACTAAAAAATGTCCTTGAGTGCAATCACAAATCTTAAGTTATCATATTTTTCGCTCCATAAGAAGGGGAAATGTCTGTGCGTCTTATGGAGCAAATATGGAGTGGCATGGCCGGTTTTCCACCGTCACCGACACCGTGTTAGAATACCAAGCTGGCTGCTCAGCTCTTCTGTAGCAGTGCCAGGCAGAGCCCAAAGCAGCTGCCCCTTAAAGTGGAGTTCCAGCGGAGGAAAAAAAAAAACTGTAGCTGCTGACTTTTAAAACACAGCCACTTACCTGTTTCTTGGTCCAGCTTTGTCCTCACCACTGCTGGTTTCACTGGCCGTCTTCTCTCCCTGGCGCTGGCATCTTTAGTGTGGGCACCCGGCTGTGACAGCTTGCGGCTTCATAGCCAGGTGCCCACTGTACATTCGAGAGAAGTGCTGCACTTTGTGAATGGCCCCGTAGTCTTCTGGGACCTGTCACGTGTCCCAGAAAACTATGGGGAGGGAGGACAACTTCCGCTTCCAATCGCCTAGGATTCCCAAAGGTCTGCAGTCTCTAGCCATCTTCTGTACTATGTCTGTAGTCTCTGGTCATCTCCTGTAGTATGTCCGCAGTCTCTGGTCATCCTCTGTACTATGTCTGCAGTCTCTGGTCATCTCCTGTAATATGTCTGCAGTCTCTGGTCAACTTCTGTAGTACATCCGCAGTCACTGGTCATTTCCTGTACTATGTCTGCATTCCATTGGTTCAGAATATTTGTTTTCTTGCTTTCCTCCTCTAAAACTTAGGTGCGTCTTATGGTCAGGTGCATATTATGGAGCGAAAAATATGGTATTTAGGTGATCAACCGTATTCAAGTGAAACACGTGTCACCCCACTCAGTGCTCAAGGAAGGCTTACTGGATAAATGTTACCATCCTGTTATAGAACAGTCAAATTGGGCATAGATATAATCCTAGGGCAACCGCTCCAGCCTCCTCTGCAGCCTCCAACCATGGGTTAAATGGCGTTCACCTACTCCATATGGATCATCTTGAAATACTTGTTGTTTGGCTGTTATTCTGATCCTCTGGCTTCAATACTTTCTGACTTGCTGACCTCCTAACTTCTCACAATCTACAGCCTCACATGTGCACCAGCAGCACCAAAGCCGGCCACCCCCCTCCCGTAGTCTCTCCAATGAGAGTGCCTGACCATCAGCTAAAGGCAGCCATAGATGATTCTAACTAAGCATCTATTGGCAGGCTGGTTGTATCTAATTTGGTTGTTGCACGACTTGGGTACAAGCAGCCTGTCGGATTCTACTTGTGATGTCACCGTGTTCTCCAGCAGGGATGGCTTCCCCTGCTCCCCCCCCATTCCTCCTTTATGGAAGAAAACAATAGCTCCACAGGAGGGACTGACCGTGTTGATGGTTCGGGAAAGCAAATCACATGTCAGCAAATAGAGTTGGAGATTTGGTCAGGATCAATGGTGTCCTCAGTGCTGAGGAACACAGGCAGATATTTATCAATCAGTTCATACCATCAGGGAGGAGTTTGATTGGCCCTAATTGTATTCTGCAGCATGATAACAACTCCAAACATATAGCCAATTTCATTAATAACTATCTTCGGTGTAAAGAAGAATAAGGAGTCCTTGATGTGATGGTCTGTCCCCAAAAAGCCCTGATCTCAACATCATCACGTCTGTCTGGGATTACATGATAAGACAGAAGGATTTGAGGCAGCCTACATCCACAGAAGATCTGTGGTTAGTTCTCCAAAATGTTTGGAACTACCTACCTGCCAAGTTTCTTCAAAAACTTTATGCACAAGCACTGTGTGTACCTAGAAGAACTGATACTGGTTTGAAGGCAAAGGGTGGTTACACAAAATACTGATTTGATTTGGATTTCTCTTCAGTTCATCTACTTTCCATTTGCTAATTGATAAATATAAACTATTAACACTTCTATTTCTGAAAACATTCCTAATGTATAGCATTCTTCCATGTGTGCCGAAAACTTGCACTGTGTATATATATATATATATATATATATATATATATATATATATATATATATATATATATCTACATACACACACACACATATATATATATATATATATATACTGTATATACAGTGCTCAGCATAAATGAGCGCACTCCAACAGATTTGTCAGAAAACCTTTACTTTCCAAATACTCCCACCAATGCGGGCCATTGATTACAAACAAGATTTGTTAATTTGCACACACAAAAAAGTATTTTTCCTAACAAATTCATTCAAAACTATGTTGCAAAAATTAATACATTAATACACCCCAATGAAAGTCTTGGCAGCACAGCTAAATTTTAGAAAACAAAATCCTAATTAACAAGAATTCAACTACAAGTGAGTCCAATTATTCATTAAACAGGTGTCCAACAGACAGTTAAAAAAGGGTGTTACTTAACAAAGAAAACCCCTTCCCATTTCCTGCTGCCAGCAATGGCACCACATGGAAGAGAAATGTCACAAGGCCTGAGAAAGAAAATCATTTGATTACACAAGAGAGGTGAAGGCTACAAGATCAACAAAGCCTTCCTTTTCAGTCAAATAATGTAGCAAAAGTGGTGCAAACATTTAACAAAAATGGAACTGCAACCATCCAGGCCATCCACAGAAGTTAACACCTCAACAGGAGTGTCTTCTGATGACAAGGGTTGAAGAAAATCGCCATGCAAATTCACTGCAGTTATCTAAAGAAGTAGAAATCTAAACCGGGATGATTGTTTCCTATGACAAAATACGGCATACACTGCTGAGGAATGGCATGGGTGTCGTCCATGAAGAAAGTCTCTCCTAAAGCCCATGCACAAAAAAAGCCCACCTAGAATATGCCAGGGCCCATGCTGAAAAAGAATAAAACTACTGGGACTCTGTACTGTGGAATGGTGAGACCTAGGTAAATGTTTTTGGAACTGATGGCTTTAAAACTGTATGGAGTCGCAAAGGTGAGGAGTACAAAGAAAAATGCATGGTGCCTACAGTGAAACATAATGGTGGCAGTGTCCATCTGGGGGGCTGCATGAGTGCTGCTGACGTCGAGGAGCTGCATTTCATTGATGGCATCATGAATTCACAGACGTACTGCTCTATACTGAAAGAGAATAAGCTACCATCACTCCGTGCCCTTGCTCATAGTGCACTTTTCTAACATGACAATGATCCAAAACACACATCTGAGGCCACTGTTGCATTTCTGAAGAAGAACAGGTTGAGAGTGATTCAATGGCCAAGTATGTCTCCTGATCTGAACCCAATTGAAAACCTATGGGGAATTCTGAAGAGACAAGTTGATCATCACTCTCCATCCACCATCCAGGCTCTAAAAGAGGTAATTCTTGAAGAATGGAAAAAGATAGATGTTGAAATATGTCACCAACTTGTTCATTCCATGCCTAGAAGACTTGGTGCTGTCCTTACAAATCATGGAGGTCATACAAAATACTAAAATATTAGATGTAGTAGTTTTGTTTGTGGTATGTATTCATTTTTGCATTAACTAATTTGAGTAAAACTGAGGATTTTGTAATATAAGTTATATTATTAACCTCGCTTTTATGTAATCAGCTAAACAGATGTTCTATAAAACTCAGTTTTGTCAAAATTTTGGAAATTGTGTTCATTGAGATATTGATTAAAATCTTACTTTTCAAAAGGGGTGTATTCATTTATTCTGGGCAGCAATGAGATGACCCCCAAAACAGGAATGGTTTTACAAGTGGAGACTACTAACATTTTTTTCCCTACTCATCTTTTCTGACTGTTTTTCACTACCTTTCCATTTGGCTTGGGTCAGTGTCACTACTGGTAGCATGAGACAATACCTGGACCCTACAGAGGTTGCACAGGCAGTCCAACTCCTGCAGGATGGCACATCAATACGTGCCATTGCCAGGAGGTTTGCTGTGTCTCCCAGCACAATCTTTAGAGGATGGAGGAGATTCAAGGAGACAGGCAGTTACTCTAGGAAGTTGAACAGGGCCATAGAAGGTCCTTAACCCATAAGCAGGACCGGTATCTGCTCCTTTGTGCAAGGAGGAACAGAACGAGCACTACCAGAGCTCTACAAAATGACCTCCAGCAGGCCACTGGTGTGAATGCCTCTAACAAAACAATCAGAAACAGACTTCATGAGGTTGGCCTGTTGGCCTGACGTCCTCTAGTGGGCCCTGTGCTCACTGCCTGGCACCCTAGAGATTGATTGGCATTTACCATTGAACACCAGAATTAGCTGGTCTGCCACTGACTCCTTGTACTTTTCACAGATGAGAGCAGGTTCACCCTGAGCACATGTGACAGATGTGAAAGGATCTGGAGAAGCCATGGAGAACGTTATGCGGCCTGTAACATCATTTAGTATGACCGTTTTGGTGGATGATCAGTGATGGTCTTGGAAAGCATATCCATGGAGGGACGCACAGACCTCTACAGGCTAGACAATGGCACCCTGACTGCCATTAGGTATCAAGATGAAATCCTTGGACCCATTGTCAGACCCTACGCTGGTGCAGTGGGTCTTCGGTTCCTCCTGGTGCACAACAATGCCCGGCCTCATGTGGCGAGAGTATGCAAGCAGTTCTTGAAGGATGAAGGAATTCATGCCATTGAATGACCCCCATGCTCATCTGACCTAAATCCAATAGAACACCTCTGGAATATCATGTTTTGGTCCAACCGACGCTGCCAGGTTGCATCTGATGAGAAGGGTTGAAGAGCTCAGTAATGCCCTGGTCCAGATATGGGAGGAAATACCCCAGGACACCATTTGTCGTCTGATTAGGAGCATACCCTGATGTTGCATACAAGCACGTGGGGGCCATACAGACTACCATTTTGAGTGCCATTTTGAGTTGCTGCAATGAAATTTTAGCAAAATGATGGGAAAAATAGCAAAAGGGATGGCCCCCTCCTGTTCCAACATGACTGCACGCCAGTGCACAAAGGAAGGTCCAGAAAGACACTGATGAGTGAGTTTGGGGTGGAGGAAATTGACTGACCTCAACCTGATAGAGCACCTTTGGGATGAATTACAGCAGAGAGGGGTAGCCAGGCCTTCTCGTCTGATATCAGTGCCTGACCTCACAAATGTGCTTCTTGAAGAATGGTCAAACATTCCCAAAGACACACTCCTAGAATTTGTGGACAGCCTTCCTAGAAGAATTGAAGTTGTTATAGCTGCCAAGGATAGGCTAACTCAATATTAAACCCTATGCACTAAGACTGGGATGCCATAAAATTCATGTGCGTGTAAAGGCAGGCATCCTAATACTTTTGCAAATATAGTGTATGTATATATATATATATATATATATATATATATATATATATATATATATATATATATATATATATACAGTATATATACATACACACACATACTATATAGAAGCCCTGTATATATATATATATATATATATATATATATATACACAGGGCTTTTATTTATGGATGGGGGAACCGAGCTATGGATGGGGGTGTGAGCTGTGGAGGAGGGGGTTGGGCATTTACCAGGGAGGGTGGGTTCCTGCACCTATTCTCTCAGAAAAAAAGCTCTGTGTGTGTGTGTGTA